TAGCCAGAAGCCTTCTCGGGATAAGTACCGCCAGACCGGTTTATTACTGGATTGGGATGAGACTAGGGCAGGGATCTACGTGAAAGACATCGGATATTAGGGGAAGAATCACCAAACCTACTTGTTGAAAGCGGACATCTTATATATCTTGCAACTTCTAATGATTATCATAACACCAACCAGATGATCGTCATGCCACGACACCTTTTCTGGGGGATCATAATCTCAACGTTCTACTGAATCAGCATATGAATAATTTTTTATGGGAAACAAGGTTTAACAAATTATGGCTCCAGATACCATTTTTAATTCGGTTCAACTGCCTTCACCTGGGGTTGAACTGGTATCTTGTGATCTGATCTGTGGAGTATTAACCACTACACTATGGATTCACAGATCTAACAATATAATATATGTTTATTGTTATTGTTATATTTTAATATGTTTTGATATATATAAACATGTTTTGTTATTTGTGATCTATTTATTTGTTACTAATTTTAGTTATTGATTTTGCTAATAGTTTTATTAAGTAAATTAAATATATATCTAATTTATTGTTATTGTAATTTTGACATGAGTTTGAAGTTTTATTATTATATGACATATGTTTGATATATGTTTTAATACTTGTTTACTTGTTAAAAAATATATTCTTTTGTTCTATATTATGAAATAATAAGTTGTCTTAATATTAATATTAAGAAATATATGTTTTGATATTTGTATAATAATTATATATGTTTTGATACTTGTTTAATAAAGATACATATTTTATTATATTATTAGAATTATATATATTTGGTATTTTTTTATTAATAAGACATGTGTTTTATCTTTGTTTTTAAATAATGAAGCTGTTATAATATTATATATAGTGTTTTGAATTTCTGTTAACTTGTTTATTTGTTTGTCAATATGTTTTGATTTGAAGTAAATTTGAGTTGTATTTATATTACTGTTGATTTTTTGATGGAAATAAATTAATTCTGATTTTTTCTGACTCAATATAAGATTGATTGCATAATGGTATTGTTTATATTATTTTTATTATAAAGATCTGTATTTTTCTTTTACAGTAAAAAGAAAGTCTTGATATTCTTTTGTTTTTGTATTGTATACAAGATTGTTTAATTTATCAAATGTAATCTGGCTAATACAAGATCTTATTAATGTCTAGAAAGGTGATATATAATTGACTAACAATTTGTAAAGTATAATATTAATTTTTTCTTTAATTTTATTATAATTTGTATTTTTTGTTTTTCTCTTTTTTCTAATAAAAAGTAACAAATATCTATTTGTTTGTATAAAAATAAAGCAATTTATATTAAATACTAATATATATCTGTTATGTATATTCTTCTTTATCTTATTAAGAGATGTATAATTTTTTTCTTGAAAAAGAAGTGTTTTAAAAGTTTTCTATAAGTATTTTTAAGTACTATTAAAAAAGAAAATTTTTAGATATTTTAAGATTTTTTAAAAAAGTTTTTTTTTAAATTATTTTATTTATATTTTTATTTAAAAAATATTATTTCAAATATATATTATAAATAATTATAAAATTTTATAATATATTTTAAACTTATTTTCATTATGTATTTATTTTTATTTTAATAAAAAAGAAAAAAAAAACTTTTTTTCTAAAAAAAGTTTTTGATAAAAATAGAAATAAGTGAAAAAAATAGAAATAAGTAAAAAAAAATTTTTTATAATTTGAATTGATATTGAATATTAAATAAATTTTATGATAAATATTATTTTTATGTAAACTTAAATAATTAAATTATTTATTTGAAATAAAAATTTAAAATTTAAAAATTTCCACAATTAAAAAATATAATTAAATATAATTCAAATAACGTATATTATAAAAAAAATAAAACCAATATTAATTTTATTATACTTATAACAAGATTTAAAGTAAATATAACTAACTTTTTGTATAAAAAATAAATATGTTTTTTTTTCTCAATCAAGTTGATTTTACTAGTATTTTTATATAAATTCATAACCTAAACATATGAATCCAAGATATTCTGTTATCTTCCAACCAAAACAATTGGGATCTAACCCTAGGATCCTTGTGATCCTTGCAGAACATATACATTTCCTTATTGGGAAAGAGTCAGAAATGTGAGGTATGATAAGGTTTAACTGTAGGCATTTGGTGGTCGCTGTATATATTTAAACAGATCAGATCGAGTCATGGATGACGATGAAGTAAAAAATGAATCAAAAACTCTAGATGATAACTTCAATTCTACATCGAATGCTTCTATAAATTCATCTCTAAATCTTAGTGATAAATTAAAAGATGAAAAATCGGTACCAAAATTTTGGGTTGATAAATATAAAAAGGAAGCGTCGAAAAATTGGTTA